ATTCTTGGGGCAAGGGGACTGTGTTAGGTTCAGCCAACAAGACTTCTCCAGGTAATTCAAGAGAAAGGGGCATTTTCCATCTCCTCATTCAGAGATGAGCTTTGCCAGTCTCAGGGGGAGATCTGGAGGGCTCAGAAGATGCAGAGGGAGGAGAGAAAACAACAGTGTTTCATGGAAATGTGGCAGTCTTCAAGGAGACTCTGTAATGTCCTTTCTCTCAGGAAAAACCAAGACAGAGCAAAGGCATGGAGATTTTAAGCTGTGCTGTGGCTGGGCTGCGAGGAGGTTTATGAGATGATCAGCTGCAGCCTGCCCAGATCTCAGCCCTCACTGCCTGTTGCCGCAGCTTCAAAGGCACGATTATACTGCAGAAGGTACCCTGCAGGGAAAGTGCCAGCAATTAATACCAATTTAGTGAAATACAGAGAGAATTTGAAGGCTTGGGGCAGTGACCAGCTGCCTGTTGATGTCCGGGTATGGAGGGGAGGCTGCTGCTGTCTGCGGCATTCCCGCAGGCTGGGATGATGTCCCAGAAGGAGCAATGCCGCCTGGTGTCATCAGTGTGGGGAGAGGAGGCAGAGGTTTAGGATGGTGAGGCAGTGAAATATGAGGGTGAAAGGAGACATGCAGGGAACTAGGTGGTGCTGGCAGATTTGAGGAGGGTCATGCACAAAGGAATGAGGCTTTCCCTATGCCGTCTGATGGCCGTCTGTACCGCCCACACAATGTCTTGGCTCCTCACGGTGTTCAGGGTATAAATAAGGAGCTGGCTCATTTCTAGGGGACGTTCTTTTCAAGGCAGATCCTTCGTAGACCAGTTAATCAAGGTGGATTCATAAGGCCCATTTCAAGTCATCAGTCTTCCTGCATTATGCATTTCCTTTGATGATTGAGCCCACAAGGAGTGGAGAGGAATATAAATGCGTGACTTGCTGACACCTCTCCCAGCAACCAAGACAGCAAATGGGACAGTAAAACAACCTTTGGCTGAAAAATATTTTCAGTTTAAGAACAGCATAAAGAACAGATGCAGCAAGGAAAACACAATGGGGAAAAAACCCTTGCCAGTACTGTTCTGTTTTCTATTTGAAGGCAAGAAGGTCTGTAACAGCTGCCCATATTATTTACTAGCAGCAGGACTTCTGCATGTAATCACTTTGTGAGGTTCATTAATGCGGAGAGAACAGTCCATGATATGGGCTAAAGAGCAAGTTTCCTCCTTTGAACTGAGCCTGGCTGTTGCTGGAACTGTGTGTTGCAGATGCTGTGAGTCAGAGCAGCCGTGGAGGAGGGAGACTGGCTCAGCCCATCAGCGTGGATGGGTCCATTTCCGTGGTTTATTGTCAGCCTGCTAATTCAATGGTGTTCAGAGAAAGCCAGGCATTTTCCAGGCATACGCAAGGCGGGAGGCCGTATTCTCTGGTTTGCTGAGATGATTTTGCAAAGTGAATTTAAATCAAAGGGACAGCTAATCCTGCTGTAGGACAGGGGGTGGGCTGGCTGATGCAGTGTCCCTTACAGCCCGGTTTTGATGGTTCCCAGGCAGAACTGCACCTGCAGAAGTGTTATCTCCCCCAGAGTACCTACGTCCTAGGCACTGACCCTACCTGGGGCTCTGGGGAGCTCTGTGTTGCCTCTGGGTCCCGCTATGCCTGCTTTGCCAGGGGTGCTGGCACAGTGCCTGGACTGGAGCATGAGTTCCTGTATTCCTCCTCTTCCTCCCTGGGGGACTGGCAGTGCTGCGTAGGGAGGTGAAGCCAGATACCTGCATGTCCAACAGATACATCCCAAATGGTTCAAATCTAAAGAGCCTGAAGAAGGTCACATACCACCAAATTCCAGGGGCTCAGCTCGTTTCCCTGAACAGCCCACTGTGCTCCAGACGTGGCTGCAAAGCAAGTTTTTTCCAGTGTTCATCGGCAAATTTTCGAAATGGTTTCAAAACCGTTTGACCACTCCATGGGATGATAGACGTCAGTGCTTGTAGGGACTATAGAGGTCCCATGGAGTACATTGTTCCAGCACTGTTCACTTCTTGCTGTACTTGATTGGATGGCAAAGGGAAGCATGTCTGTGCTGGTTCTTTCCCAAACTGGCTGATACTAAACATATTGCTGCAAAAGCACGTCTGCTGCCCCTCAGTAGTGGGTTGCAATCTTTCCTTAGTCATTTTTTTTTTTTTAATTATTTTCTGTTTTCCAAATCTGGCCAATTGAAAATGAAATAAAAGGTCCCTTTTTTGCAACATGTGGCTATAGTTAGTACAAGGTGACAGATGATAGATGACTTCTTCACTTGCAAATATTCTAATTCTCCTGTTCTCCTGTTTCCTACAAGCACTGACTGATATGCCAGAAAGACAGATAAGCATATTTAATTCCTGATGCCACGTTGTCAATAGAAGCATTTTCAAGAGACAGTTTGCATAACATTTGATATATTCTTTTTTATATGTTAACCAGCAAGAATTCACCTCCTCTGGGAATTATTTTCTAAAATACCTGACCTCTGGTATTCCCAGTTCATTGGCTGTCATGTCACCCAGACCTGCTCTGAGCAGATTGCAGTGGTGCAGTGATTAAAATGCCTTTGTAATAAGGACCGTTCCTGTACTGACCTTGTACTGGGGCATGTGGAGGAGGGATAACAGGTGAAAACAATTATTTCAGCAGTTGATAAATAACAAATGCAAAGACATATTCAGGGTTAATGATGCCCTCTGTGGTCCCAACTGCCTTAAACAGTTGGAAAATCTTCAGAGGTCTCCATACTTTTTAAAGAACCTGAATTGTGTCAAAAATCAGTGGGGAAAAATTAATACAATCTTCAGGAAGAAATAATTCCTTTTGTCTATTCAGGTTATTTTAAAATTTTATGTAAGATGAATCCCAATGAATATTGTTGAATACTTGCCTCAGTTTCGGAACGGTTTGGGGAAAACAGTGAAAGTGTTTTCAACCGCTGTTGTCTCCTCACTGGTGTCATAATTTTTTTTTTACTTTTCCTATTTAAATCTGCTTGTTGAGGGGGCTAAAGACACCAGACATCTTACTCATACTCTGTTGTGAATTTGGACTTTTCTTCTTGCCTTTGTAGGCCTTCCAAGGAGGAGCTGGTGGCACAAACTTCAACTTGCTGTGTGGTAGTTTCTTTTGACAGATCTTTTTCCCCTGAGTACCTCCCAGGAGCAAAATGTCAGTGTAATTTGGTCCTAGCCATGAATAACCAGTTGGCAACCTGTGAAGTCCCTTTTACTGAACCTTAGGAGCTCTGTGTGTCAAAAAATGCTTGGCCTGAAATGCATTAAGATGTCAGGGACAATTATCCTGCTGCATTTCCTATTCATTAATCACAGCTCTGGCTTTCTGAAACCCCTACGCTAGCAATTACAAACAAGATTGATGTGGGTTTAACCAGCATTCTGAGGAATACATACACACAAAATATCACTTTTTTTTTAAACCTAAATCACTGCACTTTGAAGCAAAACAAATCATCTATTTAGAGCATCTGTACACCTATATCCAATCCTCAGCCTTCTAAGTGGATGCCAAATTGCTCACAAAAAGCCAGAAGAAAAAGAGTGAAAGACTTTAAAGACGTTTTTGAATCACTTATGACTCCCTTAGTCTGATGCTGATGTCAGAGAGCAATTTAGTCTTTTCCTTGCAAGCTGTCTGTTCCCAAAACAGGTTTCCATCTAATGCTTGATCCTGACCTTGGAAGTTAATAAGCTAATTAGCTCCTCCAGCCTATGCACAGAGAGCACCATTTTGGGAACCTGACTGGTGTCTTGTGGGAATAATGTGACTTGGGTTTTTTAACTCACACCATCATTATATGTTTGAGACCAAGCAGGGGAGAGAAACCCAGTTGTAGGCTGAGAAGGTGCCTGCAGAGAACATGCACCAGCAGCGTGTGGTGGAAGGCAGAGGGAAGGCAGAGCTCAAACAAGCTCTTGTATTGCTCAAGGGATTGCACTGTGCATAGTCCCCTCGTTCATTTTCCCTTGCGTTATGGTTGCTAATGGTGCTAGGGAAAATAATTGGCTGCATCTCTTGTGCTTGTATTCCAAAAGAGAAAGCACCAAACTTCAGCCTGTCCCACGCACAGCAGCCCAAGCAGGAGGGCAGAGGCTCTGTTCAAGCACCTGCTTTGTGCAAGGAAACACAGCAAACAGTTTTGCGTAACAGCAGTGCTGAAGAGATAGGATCAAAGCTATGAGAGCAAAACATGACCTCTTTTCCATTTCTTGCAGTGCATCTTTAATTATTTTTTGCCTCTGATTCAACGGGAGTGACTAATTCTACAATGCCACCCCGATACACATGTGTATTTGCGCACTTGTGCTCATCACATGCACTGGGCAAGAGGTAGGGAAGAACAATAAGGAAATGAAAGAAATGTTTCATTAGTAATCTGAAGTCCAAAAAAGTACCCTTTTTTCTCCCAAATTAGTAAATCCTATAACCTGTCTTTTCTAACAAACAGGCTCCTTTGGCAGGCTGACTGACCACTTACTTCTTGATCTGCTGAAAGTTCATTGTTGAAGATTTGTTTTTCCCT